AAGGTGAGAAGTGCGTTGAAGTTGTTGGGTGCTACGTTTTATTGTGGTGAATTTTCGTGGTTATAAGCGCTTTGGAAGTTGTTGGGTGCTACGTTTTATTGTGGCGAATTTTCGTGGTTATAAGCGCTTTGGAAGTATGCGTGTAATATTACTTTTGGAGCGCCCTTTACATTTGCATGCGCACGTGAGTAATGAGGCACGCCTTCGGTTCTTATTTTTGATATAATGTACTATTTCAATAATGAGAGTGAACGAGATGTTGCAAACCAAATTCTACTTTCAATCCCGAAATACTGCGGATCGTTCGTTTTTGAAAGGTTCGTTTTGATTCGGTTCAGCAGGTGTACTACATTTTCGCATTATTCTATGGATCAGGCGGACTGTCTCATCCAGGTCAAGCATAGGGCTCGTTAATTTTGTGTGGGTCTTCATGCGAACCTCCTCAATGTGTGGCCCTTTTTCGCTCCTGCTCTACCGGAGCCAGCCGTACATTGGACTGAGCTCACCGTTGCATTAGGTTTAATAGCTTGAAATGGCGAAGTTGGGGAAGTTCTCGCGATCAAAAGTGTGGAAAATTTTGAGGTATGATTGTGAGAAACGAGTCGTGCTTTTTCCAAATTTCGCATTTCGTAATTAGCGACCCTGCGTGGAACTACGACGTAGCATGATAGAATGAAAGAGCGCACGTATTACCATTCCATTGTATCGTTTGCGTTAAATTGGAAGGTGTCATAAAAAGGGAGAGGGAGAGGGGCGGGGTCTTGGCTACTGCCTTTCCTTTTTTACTTTTATATTCTACCAAAATGTTAAGGGAGTGAGAAAACTTCATTCTCAGTGTTTTTTTTTGCCTTCAGAGCGTTCTTTGATTCCACTGCTTTATTTGTTTCCTTTTTTTGTGGATAATGTCATCATTTATTTCTAGTCTTGAAGAGATTGATTTTTTTTCCATAATTTCGGAGGCATTATTAGCCAAATCTCCCCTAATAGAGTTCCTAGTATTACTTTTCCTCCGTGGAAGGCCGCCAACCGGCGAGAGAGGAAGTATGAGGTTCGTCGATCTTATTTCTGAATTCTCCCTTCGAACGTTTCTTCTCCTTTATACCATCGCTACTTATGAACTGGTTGGAAAGAGTCACCCAAAGTTACAAAAATTTTCTTCCAAATTAGCACGTTGACGACAAGCTGACGCGCATGCGCGTCAAGAATTTCGCACCGCATTTGTACGCATTTTTTCCGCACATGAATGACTTTTTACAAGATGTTTTGCTACTTTTCTATAGACTACACTTTAACATAACTATAAACGGCATGGTCCATTTAGGGGTAGAATATGCTCCTGTTGAACAAAGCTTTTTGAACCTCACTATAATTCCAATTTAGATCAATCTTCAATTTTTATTTTGAAGTTCGCAAGCAAATAAA